TTTGTTTTTTTTCTCATTATTATGTGTTATTTTCATGCCAAGTAGTCAAATTATGCTGCCATTTTAACAGTTTTCTTTTGTGAGCGTCCTTTTTCCAAAGATATATTTCATAACTTTTCCTCATAATTTTAGATGATTAAACAGCATTTGCTTCCTTCAGTTGCTCAGCCTAGAATTTTTCCTTACATTTGAACATTTTCGTCCTTTCTCTAAGGAACGAAACTCACATCAAACATCTGAAATCTACTGCTGGATCCCAGGTTTATGATTCACATTTTCCCCAAGTAGATGGTTGAATCTCTCTGTGGTGTACACAAGCATTTTCAATATTTCTCACTATTTCGAGCTGTTTTGGGCTTCTAGAGGCAGGCTTAACACTGGTAGTGCTTCCACAATCATTTTTAACTGCAGAACCTGACAGACACTTGAATATCAAGCTGCAATATTTTCCTTCTTTCTTCTCATTGGATGGCCTTTGCTTATGTAAAGCTGAAGATCTCTTTAGGATGGCACTGTCTATTTGAAATCCACACTGCTATACCATCTTGTGGTTGCATCCATCACAACGATCTGGGAGATCTTGGATAGATTCATTGCTATCTGCCCTCTTTATAGGTATTGGTCAAAGTGACTGACACCAATTGGGGATGGATGCCCACACAAAATATTCAGAAAATAGGCTCAGTCTCAATCCTTTCTAGATATTTAATCAAACTGTTCAGATGTGATGTTATCATACACTTCTGGAGTAGGTGGAACTTAAACATTACCACTATGCCACAAGCACCCCAACAGTCCTTTATGTTCTGGTGGGCAGAGCCATAATGTCAATTAACCCTTTCAGGTGGTAACAATTCAAATGCCAAGATGCACTGGGACTGCCATAGTGTTAAGAGCTTAGGTGGTGAGGAATTTGTTAAATGTATTCAAGAAAATTTTCTTTATAAATATGTAGATGTACTTAGGAGAGAAGGTGCAAACCTTGACCTGTCTTGGGAAATAAGGCAGGGCAAGAGACTGATGTGTTACTGGGGAAGCAGCTTGGGACCAGTGATCATAATTCTATTAGTTTTAAAATAGTTATGCAAAATTTAGGCCTTTTTGTGTAAAACTTAAAATTCTAAATTGGAGTAAGGCAAATTTTGATGGTATCAGACAGGAACTTCCAGAAGTTGATTGGAGTAGACTATTTGCAAGTAAGGGGATGACTGGTAAATGGGAGACTTTCAAAAGTGAGATTATGAGAGTTCAGAGGCATTATGTTCCTGTTAGAGTGAAGGGTAAGGCTGGTAACAGTGGATGAATAAAGATATCGAGGCTTTGGTCAAGATTAAGGAGGAATCATATATTGGGTATAGACAACTGGGATCTAGAATCTCTTGAAGAGTATAAGGGGTGTAGGGGCATTCTTATGAGAGAAATCTGGAGGGCAAAAAGGGAACATGAGATAACCTTGGCAGATAAGATTAAGGTTAATCCAAAGAGATTCTACAACTACATTAAGAGCAAAAGAGCAGCTACTGAGAGAGTAGGGTCCCTTAAAAATCAATGAGGTCATCTTTGTGTTGAACCACAGGAGATGGGAGAGGTACTAAATGTGTCAGTTGTTACTGTGGAGAAAGACATGGAGGCTCGGGAAATAAATTTTGATGTCTTGAAACAGTCCATATAATGGAAGAGGAGGTGCTGGAGGTCTTAAAAAAACACAAAGATGGATAAATCTCCAGGCCTGATGAAGTATATCCCAGGACATTTTGGGAAGTTAGGGAAGAAATTGCAGGGCCCCTAGTATAGATATTTATATCATCTGCAGCCAAGGATAAGATGCCAGAGGACTGGATGGTGGCTAATGTTGTGCCTTTAATTAAGAAAGGCTGTAAGGAGAAGCCTAGGAACTATAGATTGGTAAGTCTGATATCATTGGTGGGTACATTTTTGGAGGGGATTCTGAGAGATAGGATTTACATGCATTTGGAGAGGTAAGGACTAGGATAGAGAGATGGTTCTGTTCAAGATCTGAGATCATAGATTCCCTACAGTGTAGAAGCAGGCCATTCAATCCATAAAGTTCACACTGACCCTCTGAAGAGCATCCCACCTAGACCCACCCCATACCCTATCACGAAATTTCCTCCCCCAAACATCATGGGCTATTTAGCATTGCCAATCCACCTAACCTGCACATCTTTGGACTGTGGGAGGAAACCCACGCAAACACAGGGAGAATGTGCAAACTCCGCATGGACAGTCACCCAAGGCTGGAATTGAACCCAGGACCCTGGCACTGTGAGGCCACCATGCTGATAGTTCTGTTCAAGATTAGGGATGGTTCTGTTCAAAACTATTCAAGATGGCAGCAGTGGAGAAGCAGTGTCTGGGCTTTTGTGCCCAGATCGCATCCATTCTGCCAGCTTTCCTTGTACCATTTTTATCTTCTTTTCTCATTTTTTTTAATAGCTTTTAGCGTTTCTTAATTACCTTTTGGATTCTGTGGAGGCAGCGGCAGCAAAAGAACATGGCAGTGGCTGGGGCCCAGTGTGAGTTTGGATGGTGACACCAGTGAGGTGGCAATTGGCAGCTAGCGGCAAAGGATGGTGGCAGTGGTGATGTGGTGGTTGGGGCCAAAGCCTTGTGAGCGGTGGTGAAGCCTGATGTGCCTGGGCAGGTCTTGGCCCAGCACAGTGAAAACATGCCCAGCGCCGGGGAGAGTGAGCCATCTTGGGGAAAGCCCAGCTTTAAGCATCTGCAGGCCCATGGCTTAAGACTGTAATGCTTGACATTTTAACTTTATTTCTCTAGTTTTGAACATTTATGCTAAGTGCACTGTGGTGCTGAACTGTTTAACTTATTACTTTATATTTCTATTTCCGTAACTAAAATTTTGTACCTAAGTACTTTGTACATAAGATGGCGCCATATGTGGAGACATTGTACACTTTTCACTATGCTCTTGTACCACGTACTTGAGTACACATGACAATAAAACCTAAATCTAAATCTAAAATCAATTGTTTGTCATTTATATAAACGATTTGGATGAGAATTTAGGAGGCATGGTTAGTAAGTTTGCGGATGACACCAAATTTGGTAGTGAAGAAGGTTATCTAAGAATACAAAGGTTCTTGATCAATTGGGCCAATGGCTTGAGGAGTGGCAGATGGAGTATAATTTGAATAAATACTATTGCATTTTGATAAAACAAACACAGGCAGCACTTATACAGTTAATGGTATGGCCCTGGGTAGTGTTGTCGAACAGAGAGACTTAGGGATTTAAGGACATAGTTCTTTGAAATTTGCATCACAGGTAGAGAGGGTGGTTAAGAAGGTGTTTAGCATGCTTGCATTCATTGTTCAGATCACTGAGTATAGGAATTGAGACATCATGCTGAGGTTGTACAGGGCGTTGGTGATTTGATTTGATTTATTATTGTCAAGGTACCTAGGTACAGTGAAAAGTTTTGTTTTGTGTGTAGTACAGGCAGATCATACCGTACAAAGTGTATAAGGGTAATAGAACAGAACAAGGAATACAATGTTATGCTGCAGACAAGGTGCACAAAAAGCACGATTAACATTAAATTTAAAATTTGAGAGATCCATTCAGAAATTTAACAACAGTGGGGAAGAAGAGATAGTAAGAACTGCTGATGCTGGAGTCTGAGATAACACAGTGTGGAGCTGGAGAAATCTGAAGATTTCTGAAGAAGTTCCCGACCTGAAGTGTCAGCTTTCCTGTTCCTCTGATGCTACTTGGCCTGCTGTGTTCATCCAGCTCTACATCTTGTTATCTCAGATTCTCCAGCATCTGCAGTTCCTACTATCTCTGAAACATTGTTAGTGATATATTTCCACGTCTCTCAAATGTATGGCAACAACTGCCACAATGCCAACCCATGTCCCCAGAGTTATTACATGTTGACTCTGTGCCAAACTGTTCTTTAAACGTTTTGCCAGGAACTGGTCTCTCAGGAAGTTTTGGTGGGGTTGGGGTTAATAGTAGGACAAAGATATGAAAATCAACTTCAAGTGTAATCACTCAGTATGAGGTTGCCACTGATAGTGGGGGAATGGGGAAGGACCAAGCACAGACTCCTTTGCCGTAAAAGTACTAAGGCACATGACATAAAACTATGTTATCCGGTATGAATTACTGAGCGGTCAACCACCCATAACTTGAGAAGTTTTCGCAAGACGTTGCAAAAGAGACAAAGACATGACTTTAGTGAGTGTTTCCAGCGATTTTCATTCCTAAATCAGCAGTATTTTTAATACCACGTAGAAGAACAAGAGGATAAAGAGGAAGTAATGTTTCTAGTTCCTTGAACGCGCAGAACAACAAAAGACCGCGCCACAGACGGCGCTATGCACGGAGTAGTATTTTTAATATCCTTTACTTGATTGGCTGCGCGGTTGGTATGGGAATCCATCCAACCGCATCCTCAGCTTCTTTCAAATCAGCCAATTGAAATATTGCTTTGAATCGAATGAACCAATGGGAGCCGGGCAACCCAGCCGGTTTAAATAGCTGGAGCGACTTCCAGCCTCGCACTTCTGTTGGTTTTAGTGTTTCATTAGCACGAGGTTATAAGTTGCAAACGGCTTACTTTAATTTTGCGGTTCAGAGCATTTTGTAAGTGTTAAGGTTAGTTCAACTATTGTTCTCATTTAATAGCGATATGTTTTTCTTTTCACGACTAATTACAATTCTAGTAACCTTAACTGAAAATCTCCCCTTTAAATCTTTGTCTCAACTTCCGCAAGTATGTAAGACTTGTTCCATATTTCGCTGTAAATGATGATTGTCTAAACAAGCAATTGATCTAAATGCTGAAGCTTAATTGTTGCTAACTTTTTAATCTGGATGCAGTGTAGTTTTCTTTTTAAACAAAATTGTTAACTTCTTTATTGTAGCATATCTTTCTAAAGTGTCGGAAAATCTGCCCCGCCAGTCGAAGCACGCTTTCTGTGATTAACTCTTGTCTACTTTGTTTCGTACAGTTTCTGCCAAGTTAATTCAAGTTGAAATATGTCAACCACGGCCAACGAGAATTCCTTCAGCCGCCTGATCAAGTTTAAGAACAAGGGGAAAGATGCTAATGTGAGTTGTATTATTTTAAGTTTTTTTTTTCTTTCGTAACTTTTATCATCGCCGTCAGTAAATGGCCTAATTGGTTCCATTCCCCTTTCCTTTCCTTAAAAAGGAATTGAGACGCAGGAGAATTGAAACCAATGTTGAGCTGCGGAAGGCTAAAAAAGACGACCAGCTGTTTAAAAGGAGGAACGTGAACAATTTTCCTGACGAGAATGTATCTCCACTTCAAGAGAAGAACAACATCCAGGTATTGTATACTTGAAGGAATCCTATTTTTAAATTCATGATTTGCTTTTTGGCTACTAAACTTTGCTGTTTTTGTGACAAACAGGTGCCTCTGAATTTGGATGAAATAATCCAAGGTATCCAGAGCAACAACTTGGAAACTCAACTCCAAGCAACTCAGGCTGCCAGGTAAGAATGGGTGTCTCCCATTGTAGGTAGAAATTTTAAACTTTAAAATACCTAGAGTCTTTTGAAGGTAATGCAGAGTCTGTGGTTCAGTTTTTAAACTTGTTGCACCAACTGTAACTGGTGCAATGTGCTGTAGAAATATTTAACTTACATTTTTGCATTTAGTGTCTTTTCTACAATATTTGGGTGTATTTTGAAAGAAATATCATAAAGTATGACTATATATACAATTCAAGCACTTGTTATGGGACACTGGGATATGTTTAAAGGAACCAGCCCATGTCTGTCTGCAATCTCCTTACTAGGAGTAAAAATCCTTGTATCTTGTCACTTCATTACTATATTTGAGTTGTTGGTTTGGTTTTTTGTATAACAGTGCTATACTAAGTTTTTAACTGGGTGTTGGAGTTTTTAGTTTTAAAAAATGGATTTGCCAACTTCTGAGGCAGTGACTTTTCACTAGTGACTTGGAGTCTGTTTTTGGTTCAAGTGGCCATTTGTCAATCAAAATGAGACTGCCTAGCACTATTTTTTTTTTCATGTAATAACTGAGTCCTGATCTGATTCCTGCATATGTTTGGGTTTCACCAAAACTTGAGGCTTTGTTTTGCCCATCTCTATCTATTGGAACATTGACTTTAGTTCCAGATTCTGACTTTATACTCTATTTTATGCCTTGCTTATATACTTCTATCAGGTTGCACCTCAGTCTCTGCTCTTGTGAAAAATCCAAGTCTTGTCTAATCCCTCGCTAAAGCTGATGTATTCCAATCCAGCCAACATCTGGTAAATCTTTTGCACCTTCAAAACTTCCACATCCTTCCTATAAGTCTATCAGAACTGCACAAATACCATTGAGTTCATGCAAGATGCTTTCCTACCTATAATTGACAAAATGCAATTTTCACCAGCCAACTGGTAAAGCAGTCCAATTGTATAAAGTTCTTATCTTGTCAATATATTAACAATTGTTTGACATGAGGGATAATACCTAAGGATTTTTGAATCAAAATTTTAATAACTGATTTTAGTCTCTTTTTTTGCTCTTTCTGTCTAGAAGGTTGATTTCACAACCATTGTTTCTGTTGGAGTTTACATTGTATTACTAGTCAGACAATAGTAGTTCTGTCAGTACATTTTTAAGCACTTTTTCTCTTTTTTTTTTTTAGGAAGCTGCTTTCTAGGGAGAAACATCCTCCCATTGATAAAATTATTCAAGCTGGGCTCATCCCCAGATTTGTGGGGTTTCTTGCTACTTTTAATTGTAGCCCCATCCAGTTTGAAGCTGCATGGGCCCTCACCAACATAGCTTCTGGAACTTCTGATCAGACCAAGGCTGTTGTTGATGGTGGTGCAATTCCAGCCTTCATCAATCTGTTGGCATCTCCACATCCACACATCAGTGAACAAGCAGTATGGGCTTTAGGAAACATTGCAGGTAACTAACTAATGTGGAAACATTCATTATTTGCAAAATGGAGCATGTAAATTGGCTGGCTGTTAGCCTAGTAGAACAACTAGTAGAACCTAACTTTTTTTAAAAACTAGGTTAATGTGATGTGGGAATCACTGGCTAGGTGACATTTTACTCTTTCCTCCCCTGCCTGCCCCTTAGTACCCTTGGAGGTGTCAGTGTACAGCCTTCAATGACCTGAAGTCTGTAGATGCATCTCTAGTGTTAGAAAGATAGTTTTCAGGGTTTTGATTCAACAGTAGAGCTTAAACTCTGGGTAGTATGGCTTGAAGAACTTTGTTAGGGGTTATGGAGAAGGACAAAACTGCTCAACAGGTTCAAGTTCTAAATTGGGGTAAGTCTTAATTTTAGGAAAATTTGCAAGGGTTGATTTGAGTAGTTTGCAGGCAAAGGGACTCCTGGCAAGTTGGAGGCCTTTAAGTGTGATAGCTAGAGTTCAAGGTTTGTGTTCTGATGAAGGGCAAGTTTGGCAGGAATAGGGAACCTTTAATAATGAGATTTTGGCTCTGAGCAAGAAAAGGCATGAGTCAGGAACAGGTAGCTGGGGTCAAAGGAATCCCTGGAGGTATGTAGGGGATACTAGAGCCTACTGAAGGAAATCAGGAGGCTGAAAAATGGGCAGGAGATATTTTCTCTCCCAAAATTTTGGGTGAATCCAAAGAGTTTTTTCCACTTAATATACTTTATTCTGAGGGGTCCTATTCTGCATATGTGGAGCCACAGGAGATGTGAGGTCTTCAATGAATATTGCTCCTGTCGTTACTGTGGAGAAAGACACCAAAGACTTGGGAATGAAATTAGTGGTGCTATCTCTTGGACAGTCCATATCAGAGTTGGTTTTGGAAGTATTAGAATCTGAGGATAAATCTCATCTTCCTGATAAGAGCTATCAAAGAACCGTGCAAGAGGCTAGAGAAGAAATTGCAGGAGCCTTGGCTGATATATTTGCACTGTTGTTGGCCATGGGTGGGGTCCCAGGAGACTGGAGGGTAGAGAATGTTGTGCCCTTATTCAAGAATGGCTGTAAAGAAAAACCTGGGAATTGTAGACCAGTAAGCTTAACCTCTGTTTCAGAGATAGTAGGAACTGCAGATGCTGGAGAATCTGAGATACCAAGGTGCAGAGCTGGATGAACACAGCAGGTCAAGCAGCAGCAGCAGCAGGAGCAGGAAGGCTGATGTTTTGGGCCTAGACCCTTCTTCAGAAAAGTGACTTGACACTGAAATAGGCAGTATCATGGACAGTAAAGAAAGCTATTGAAACTGCAGCAGGACCTTGATCAGCTGGGAAAGTGGCAAATGGAGTTCAATATAGGTTAGTGAGGTGTTGCTTTGTTTTGGAAAGTGAGATCAAGGTAGGAATTAATGGTAAATGATAGGGTCTTAGAGTATAGTTGGAGAGGGACCTTTAAGTTCAGTTGCACAGTTCTGAAAATGGAGTCACAAGTAGACAGGGCAGTCAATAAGGCTTTTGGCACACTGGCCTTCATCTGTCAGGGCATTGTGTATAGAAGTTGGGAAGTTGTCTTGCAGTTGTACAAGATGTTGGTGAGGCTGCACTTGGAGTATTGTGTTCAGTTTTGGTCACCTTCCTATGGAAAAGTGTTATTAACTAGAAAGAGTGTAAAGGAAATTATGAAGAATGTTGTCGGGACTCAGGACTGTTGTAGGGAGCAAGTGTAGCAGACTGAGGGTGGAGCCTTAGTGTATCACATCAGGGGCATGGATAGGGTGAATGCATTCAGTCTCTTTTTTTGCAGGGTTTGGGTATCAAGGACTAGAGGGCCTTGGTTTAAGGTAAGAGAGGGAATTCATGGGAACCAGAAGGGGGCAACTCTTTAACAGGATGGTACACATGAAATAACCTGCCAGCAGAAGTGGTTAAGGTGGTCACGTTAACAACACTTAAGACATCTGGACAAATATATGGACAAGATAAGTTTTTAGAAGGTTATGGGGTTATTGTGGATGACTGCTTTAGTCAGCATGGACATATTTGGGCTGAAGGGCCTGTCTCCATGCTGAAGGACTCTGACTATGACTAGACTTCCCACATATCTGCTGTCCTCCAAAGTGGTAAGTCAGGGTCTGGAAGGTGCTGACAAAGGATTTGAGTTTCTGCAGTGCATCTTCCAGATAAAATATTTGTAAATGGTGAAGGGAGTGCTAATCAAGTGGGCTGCTTTGTCTTGGTGTTAAAATTATCCCAGCAAGTGCAAAATATTCCATCACCCTAAAGCATGGTAGACATGTATGGGGTGGGGTGAGTTGGTGGTGGAGGGAGGAGGGTAGGCTTAGATTCATTCCTGATGTCTAGACTAATCTTCTGACTGGATACTTATTTTGAATGTCCTGGTCCACTTGAAGCTTTTGGTGTAAAGTCATAAGAAAATTGTTTTAAACAGTATGACAAGAATTTTTGCCAGTTCTGAGCGAACTGTACCCTTTATCTCCAGCCTCAGGCACCAAAGGAACAACACCCCAGGGCTATCATAGGTAGAAACCACTGTCTTTGCTTCAACCTGCCTAACCAGTAGGTTCTTGGTCACAAGCACAGTCAGAGGCCTACAGCACAAAGTTCCTCTGGCTCATCAAGTCTGCTGGTTAAAAGCAAGCACCTTACTATTCTAATGTTTTTTCCAGCAATTGTATGCCAGGCATACTAGAAAAATAGTGCAGAAATACTAAATAGTGAGGTTGGGTTGCAATTTAAGTTCCTAGCTTCCCTGCATCTCTTGCCCAATCGTCAAATCTGTGCTCCCCAGTCCTTTTATCAGCTAATTGGAACAGCTTTTCTGTCCACTTTTATTCTTAGTCTACCAGTCTATGGCAGTTGTTCATCAAATTTCCTTTTTCCAATGTAACTTTGTATCTAAATTTACATTTTTCAAACATTTTTAAATGTTAAATCTCCTCTACATTCTCAGATTACCTTCCTGAAATAGCATGATCAGAACTGCATACAATACTCCTGGCTAGGTCAGAGCTGTAAAGGTTTGGCATAGCTCCCTGGTTTTGTCCCTCATGCCACAATCCTATTATTGCAAACGATCCTTCCTGCTATATCCTGTCACCAAAGAGCTATGCACAAAACCCCAGGTACCTCCACACTTTGGTTTTTAAAAAAAATTGTGCCATGAAGATATTGCCAAAATGCATCATCTTGCTGTGATTCAAACTGCTGATCTGTAATTTGTTGTCTCTTATGGAAACCTGTTCACTTCAGAGAATTCTGAAACCTCACTTTGGGGGTGTAGTGCTGTTGGATGTCTCTAGTGTAGTGGTTGCTGTTGTTGGAATGTCTGAAAGTTGACTTATTGATTTCAAATACTCTTCCTTGACTTCAGTACTGAAAAATACTGAAACAATGCAGCATAGTTTTGATTTGTAATTGTTGTTGTGATCAACTTCATAAATTTTTGTTTAGAAAATGAGCTGCCTATTTTTGTTTTTAGGTGATGGATCTCACTACAGAGACTTGGTTATCAAATGTGGAGCCCTTGACCCATTACTTGCACTGTTGGCTGTTCCTGAATTAGCTGCATTATCGGTAAGCCCTTCTGAGTTAAAGCAGCACAAAAAGTACTGAAGCTTCTCTTAAAATAAGATGGTTCTACTGTGTAGGAATACTAAATGTAGTTCAGTGTAAAACAATTTTAAATGTTTTTATTTTACTTGAGTAAAAGTGAGCATTTTTGCTCATTCCTAATTGCCCTTGAAAGACATTGCTGTACCATCTTCTAACAGTAGTTTGTGGTGTAGCTACTTTGAATGCTGTTGCTAATCTAGACAAATATTCCTGCTGGGTAAAACTTGCTGAGCTTCTACCTGAAGTAACTGAGTTTGAAAGAAGGAAGCATTAGGTTCACTCGTGTCTAATGCATCGTTGCCTTTTTATATCCAGTCTAGCTATCTGCGAAATGTAACTTGGACACTGTCAAATCTCTGCCGCAACAAGAATCCATCTCCACCTTTAGAAGCAGTGAAGCAGGTTCTGCCAGCCCTTGTACGCCTTCTACACCATGATGACAAAGAAGTTCTTGCTGATGCATGCTGGGCTATATCTTATCTAACAGATGGCTCAAATGACCGCATTGAAGTAGTAGTGTGTACTGGAGTTGTGCCACGTTTAGTGCAGTTACTAGCATCATGTGAATTATCAATAGTGGTAAGTTCAATTTTAGAAACCAACTTTGACAATATTAAATAATATAAATATTTGGAAACTTGGAGGATATGCAAAGTGAGTCAGTTCAAAGTGACTAAATTATCTAAGATTACACCCAAGCTTCATAAGAATTGAGTACTTGTAACACTAAGCGTTCAACTCAATATTTAGTCTTTGTACTAAATTTAATTCATGCCAAGGATTCTGACAGTGTGCAACTGGCAGCAGTAAATTTTGAATTTTAACCATCTATAAGAATAGAATTCCTAAATCACATTTTCGGTACCAGTAACTATCATAGCTTCATTCAAGTAGAGAAGACCACTTGATCCCCACCATGCTAGCCCTGCTGAAGAACTTACTGCCTACCCTTTTTTCTTATTATGCAGAATAAGAGGATGTAGAACTTAGGCCACTGTCTGGACACACAAAACAAACCACTTGGCCTAATCCCACTTAACAGCACCAGGTCCACTTTCCCAAAGGCTATATCTTGAGGCAAAGATCAGACACTTCTAATAAAGGGTTACAGGGCTTTTGTCTTTGCCTCTTCCATCCTTTTGGCAAATCTAGATCTTTGTTTTCATTTTTTATCTCATTGTTATTTCTCATGAACAATAAGTTTATGCCCCCTCTAATCACTTCCCCCTCCAAGGGGAAAATGGGACTTTGCTATCTAGGACCTCTAACCTTACACCTGAATCAAATTTCCCCAGTACATCCACTGTTTTCAGACCA